GAGCCTTTCAGGAAAGCCTATAAATACCCTCAACAGTTTCAAAGTTCCTTTTGTAATTAAGAATTTGTAAGCTTGATAATATACAGAGAAATTGACCAACACGGCAAGGGACTTGTTTGTACTCTAAATGCTGTCTCAAACTGACTGACACTGTCACAAATTCTGATCACAACAGTTCACTTTTCTGGGCCTTGATATCATCTATAAAGAAGCGTTCCTGGGGTAGGGATATCTTAAAGCTTTTATCTGTATCTGGTTTTCCAATGCTATTGTAGCTTAAAATGCAAAAGCAACCATTTAGTAAAACACAGCTTGGTCAACAGTATCGGTTCAAAAATTCTTTCTTGTTTGTAAATTATCTAAAGGTAGGAAACACATAAGGACTCTCCTTTAGATCTGTGTATAAACTTATCCAAAACATTTATCTAGGTATATTAATTATGCATCAGCTAAGCACAGCAGATCTTACTGATGTGGCTGTAAGATGCTAAGTTAAATTACTTAAGGAGTCTTAGTAATAATGCAATGGCTAAACATCAAGTACACCAGCTACATCTCTAACAATGTGTACAGCTCTGCATTTTCTATTTACATTAGTCTATCATTTTTCACGTGGGAGAAATGGCAAGATGTGGAGAGTGCCTGCTGACAACAACAGTTCTATGGAGGACACGGGTATTATTACATTTTACCAAATGACACTAGAGGCTTCACGTTTCACTCATAAATATCTCCCTAGCTATCTTTTCACTCTGGCCCCACTTTGTAACATTTCACAAGGCTTCTTGTCATTTCCACAAACACCCTCTCATCCCTTCTAGAGGGAAACAGAACTGATGCCACCAAGCTGTAATGACTAGTGTACCTTTACACTGGCAGATTAACATGAGACCTCAGTTTCTTACATGGGCTTCCTACACCTACCCTGGCCTCCTGTGCCTACCCTGGCCTCCTGTGCCTAACCTGACTCCTGTGCCTAACCTGGCCTGTGTGCCTAACCTGAATTCCTGCATTTACCCTGGACTGGAGACAGAGAAATTTACAGGAAAGTTCAATACCCCTGAGTCTTGCTCTAACCCTTGAACATAATGACATAGACGACCCCAAGCAGTTCTCACACCCAAGCATCTCATCACTCACGAGGACAATTCTGAAGAAGTGAAGAGAGAAAGACAGGACGGGCGGCAGTAGAGCTTGGGGAAGCCTAGACCATTCCACAACCATTACTTGTCTCACGTGAGAATCCTTGTCTAAACTAGCAAAAAAACAGAAACAAAGCAAAACTAAAAGGTCATAGAGTTTAACATGATGACTTGGTCAAATGGGCTAAAGATGTAGCTTACTGGTACCATGTGTTTCACTGTTTAAGGCCCTGCGCTCAATCCTCACCACCACAAAAGGGGAAAGGGAGAAAGAGATGAAAACAACAACAAAATACAACAACAAAAGCAAACAAACAAACAAACAAACAAAACAGAAAAAAGTCAAGTAGCTGAGGCTACTTCCTGGCAGGAAATGGCTGAGAAAGTCACAAGACTTTGGTCAAATAATCTCATCCATTTCTCCAAATCGAACATTGATCGCTGTCTCAAAATACAAGGCAGGCCATAGAAGTATCAGAAGTACCACTTACTAGTAATTGAGTTCTTAGTGCAGTCAGTGCAAAGTTTCCATCAAATATATGCATGGCAATAAAAACTAAGGAATAAACAATCAGTAAATAATAAGGTCTTCTTTTAAAAGGGTCCTTTTTGAAATTTTTAAAAAATGGTGACATTCCCTTGCTTCCGTCTCTCAGGCCTCACCTAAATGGATGGATGGATGGAGGGATAGATGGATGGATGGATGGATACAGACAGATGGACAAAGAAATAAACAGACTTTTAAAATCCGGATGGATACAGACAGATGTACCAAAATCCCCTTGAAGAATGATATACTGCGCCTGGTACCAGAAACGGGCTGGGAAGCCATGCACCTTGGAAGAGAACCTGCAACCACTAACTTACTAAATCAGCATGCTCCATAACCATACTCTAAATTCATCTTTATACCAACAGATAAGTGTAGTGCTTACCCCTCATCAAGGAAATTTCTCTTTGTAGTACAAGGAGAACATTGCAGAAAACCTCAACAGTTCAAAAGGCAGAGTTGTAGAACCCAGTTCCAACTGAGACATCTACAACACAGCTCCTGCACCTATGGCTCAGGGATCATTGTAGAAGAGTTAGAGAGACCGTAAGAGGCAGAGTCAGGGGGGTTGCTGTGAGAGTGACTACTGGGAATGTCAGAAGCTATACCCATAAAGTCTTATCCACATGACCACCGAACATGAGCTGAGCAAGGAGGACAACAAACATGCTAGAATGGAAGAAAGCTGACCAGGCCGCAACCCTAGACAAAGATCTACTGGTAACTAAGGAATGCTAAGAGGGAAGAGCATACCTATTGGTTATCCAAATAGTAAGCCCTAAAAACATATCCACAGGTTGTATTACACATACATACATATACACATATACACATACATATACTATTTGTGATATGATTTATTGTATTCTCAAAAAATTGTATTGAAAAATCTTCATGTAAAAAAGTTAAATAAAAATGGCTAAGGACACCCTCTGCCCCCAAGAACCCTCCCTACTCTACAGCAACTTTACCTGCAGCTCCTCTGGTTTTCCTGCACTAGTCAAGGTGGATGACCTCTCTGCCCTGGCCACTCACTGCCACTCTGGGGAGTAAAATCACATTAATCCTAAGAGACTCTTTTCTACGGTTGTGAAAGTTCCCCTGCTGATGAACACAAATCTTAAATCATAGCCTATGCAAGATTTGTCACAAAAAACCTACTGCTGTGAAAGACCCAAATTTTTGAAAGCCAACACGTTCAATCAAGAGACTCTCAAGAGGTTCTGCCAGCAGACAGGAGAAACTATGAGCTCTTCACTGCACACAGGCCCACTAATATCTAGAAGCCAGACAGTGCTGTTCTGGCAAACAGTTTAACGCTTCAACCTGAAAACTAAAACGGTCCATAATCTTTTCCTGCCCCACAGCTAGTGATCTTGAAGGCAAAGAAATTAAAACATGACCATATCTATTTTATCTGACACATACTACTTTAACTGGTCAAAAACTGTATATGTTCTACATTTCTTTCATATGTGAGATAAGAGTTTTCATAATTTATTTTCACTAATACTAGGGTAAAAATAACACTGGAGAGCAAGGATGATGTAAGTCAAACAATGGCAAGCTTTCAATTTGTTTTTTAAAGTTGTGTAAAAACAGCCCTCCCATAAATTTCACTCTTGAACAGACCAGTCCATTTAGATACCTGCTGTTCTCAGGAAATAGGGACTGACTTTTTAAAAGGGAGAAATGAGACATAATTTGTTAGAGGTTCCTTTATATTCCGTTTTTAAGACTGGGGCAAATGGAAGCAACCAACAACAATTTATAGTTTTGCATATACCAAATACATGTCGAATAATAGAACATTTACACATTTCATCAGGAGTCAGAGTTGAGGAGTCTCTAGCTTAAATCTGATTTTCCAGCTTGACTTTTTTACTGCATTAAAGATGTAATTTTGTGAACTCCCACCAATAAACAGTCTTGACATCCTTATACAAACTCAAATGAGTTACAGTGACAGGGTTTAAGAAGCAGGTCAAAGAGGAGAACAGGACCCAGGACCGCTGCAGCCACAGACCTTAGTATGATGGGCATGGCCCAAAGTTGAGCCAAATAAAGTCAGGGCCCAAAATAGGAGAAAGAGGAAGAATGGAGTAGAAGAGGGGTAAGAAAGAAGGGGGTGGAGGCAGAAGGAAAGAGAGGAGAGGGTGGGAGACAAGTCCAAATTAAACACTAGAATCAAGTTTCAAATGTCTTACTCCCCAGAGCAGCCATGTCCAACCCTTAACATTGCAAACTGATGTCATTTACGTCTATAAAAATATTGCAAAACAACTCAAAGGTTAAGTAAGTTTATTATCTTGTGTTGGGCCACACTCACAGCTATCCTAAGCTTTTCAATTCATCTGAAGTAATATAAGCACTGTCCTTGGAGAAAGAGAAACATGCAAAGAATCTTTGTATTAAACACTTTTCAATTTCTACTATCTAACAAAATGGGTCCTCTGAAAAAGCAATACAAAAATCTGCTTTTGTTTTCAATTGTACTATAGATAGAACATGTCACTCAATTTCAACAGTCTTTAGTTTTCTGAATAACCAACGAACCTTTGATTAGTTAACTATATTAGTGAATACCCCTATTAGAAAGTGTTTTATTTGCCATCAAATTGAATACCGTGCTTTACTAGCATTCAATTGTCACCAAAATCTATTTTGTTTTCATGTATGCCTCTCAAATATCATAATTTTCATTAATATGTGCTTTTATTTAATTATCTTTATAAGGATTTCCAGTATAGTTAGTGGTTAAGTCTACTAGTATTATCAGAAAAAAGCAACACAAAGAGAAAAACTAAATGAGATGATTACAAGCTTTGGAAGTGTTGGGCACACTTCTGTTTTCTGTAACGGTAGCACTTTAGTGGCCAGTCTCGACTCTATGGGGAGATTCTACCTCAACAAAACAAAAGGATGACTTAAAAATAGGTATTAGATTATTAAATGAGGATAGATACAAAAAAGTTCTATTTGACAAGAAAAATAAGAGCTAGACACCTAGACCACACAGAATAGCAGCAAGAGTCAACAGCACATAATACTGTGTGACTAGCAACTGCTCCACCTAAGTCACAGATGTTCTCAGTACAGCTAAGGAAGAGGGCAGGGACTCCAGGGATGAGGGATACACTAAGTAGATGCAACTGTGTAACCACAATGTAACATTTCTCAAAGCATCAAGCATGCCCTGTAAGTAGATTCAGACTTTATTTGTCCGTTACACCTCAAGAGGGAGAAACTTGCTTCCCAATAAATTCTTGGTCCACAAAGAGGAAAGGGGAAAAAAGTAAACAGCTTACCTTTTTGTCTCTGGTCCTTACTTCCCCATAAAAATCTAGGGCCTCTTGTGCCTTTAAAAATTTGCCCCGATGCAATAAATATGCACAAATCATTACACCAGTCCGTCCCTTTCCAGCTTTACAGTGGATTGCTGCAACATGATTGTCATCTTCACTTAGCCATTGGTCAAGATCTTCACAAAAGGGTTTGATCAGTTCTAGCTGTGGTGGGTTATGGTCTTCAAAAGGATACTGTGCAACTGTTGCAAAAAGATAATCCCAGTGTAAGAAAATTTTTAATTTTTAATTAAAAAACATAGGTTAACTTTTAAAATGTTATATATAGCCAGGCAGTGGTGGTGCACGCCTTTAATCCCAGCACTTGGGAGGCAGAGGCAGGCAGATTTCTGAGTTTGAGGCCAGCCTGGTCTACAGAGTGAGTTCCAGGACAGCCAGGGATACACAGAGATACCCTGTCTCAAAAAAAAACAAACAAAATAAAACAAAAGTTATATATAAACTTACTGGTACTAAAAAGAAGACTAATTTTCAGGGAATTTTTTTACTTATTAAAGCTAGATTTTAAAGAAAGTCTTTTACTAACTCTTAAATGTCTTCAGTAGACAAGGTAACAAGCACTGTGCTCCTCCCTCCAGGAAGGAGGGATCTGTACATGAAGGGAACACGCCACAGCCATCAGTACAGCTGAATCCAAATGCATGTCACCCAGGCCTCTGTCAAGTAGTAACTTCTAACAGGAGCAGTAACAGCACATCATCGCCAGACATGCTCTGAAGAAAGTATAGATTATTAATAGAGTCAACTATGGAGAAGACTGACTTTTCTATCTCAGAATAAAATTACCCAGTGACTTATTTTTAAAATGGTCTCACAAATATAATTGCATATACATGGCTTGAGATTAATCACTCACAGAAAAACAAACAACTGAAGTAAAGTTTACCAAATTAGGTTTCAGATCTTTTACACATGATTTAAGAATCTAAGACATCTTTGTTCTCTATAGACAGAGTTTTTGAAGGCCAGGTGCTATTGTCTAGAAGCCAGACTTCAGTTCTATCACTACTGGTTTTTATCTTACTAGAATCTGTTTTGATTCTACCCTATTGAGATCCTTAAGTCCTGGTGTGAGCTCTAGGGATCTAACTCAGTTCACCAAGTGCTTGTTTAACAGATGCTAAGCCCTGGGCTCATCCCTGCTTTAAGTAAACACACAACTGAGAATGTAGTACAAGTCTTTAACCCTAACACTTGGGGAGTAAAAGCAAGAGGATCAGAGGATCACAAGTTCAAAGTCACCCTCAGCTAAACAATGAGTTCAAGGTTATTCTGGGACACAAAGACCCTGTCTTAAAATCTTATAAAAAAAAAAAATTCCCAGTGATATTACTGTTTTAATTATCTAATATGTAAAAAACTATGACATATCCTGAAGCAAACCATCGTAAAATGGCACCAGAACAATCCTTTTACTCCTTTCCGTGACAGGAAAACTCTGTGTTAACAATGGCATACTACAATCACAAAGGGGCTGCAGGCCAGCTTTCACTTAACTGTGCTCCCAACATCACTTCCCCCAGTGGTACACAAAAACATTCCAAAGAGTCTGTTAAAATGTACATTTTAAGCTAAGTGAACTTCAACCATGGCATGCTTCCTAATGAGCAATAGCCTAGGTCTGTCTATCCCCACAAAAGAAACACTCTCCGGAAACTGTTCTCACTTAGTCCTTAGTGCTTTACAGTTCTGAGCACAGTTCGAGAGAACCATGGCGTGGCTGCTTTACCCTTTCCTAACTTTATGTCATTCTTTTGTGTAGAAAAGTTAAAATGGTTCTGTTCTTTCCTGTGATTGTTTACAATAAGCCCCTCCTATCCTAGTTTAGTTTAGGGACCTATGCTGGTTCTCAATCTATTCTGTGATTTAGTTTTTCTGACAATTGATAGGTCCTAAAGAACAACTCAAAAATTAAATTCATTTTTAAAACTGCCAAAGGCCATTCTTAAGATTTTTATCCTGGCCGGGCGGTGGTGGCGCACGCCTTTAATCCCAGCACTTGGGAGGCAGAGGCAGGTGGATTTGTGAGTTTGCCTGGTCTACAGAGTGAGTTCCAAGACAGCCAGTGCTACACAGAGAAACCTCGTCTCAAAAAACCAAAAAAAAAAAAAAAGAAAAAGAAAAAGAAAAAGATTTTTATCTCAATAATCTCGATAATTATCACCAGGCAGTAAAAAGACAGTTTATTGGTATTTAGTTACAAAGTATGCTATGGTTATGTTTATACATACCTCTGCAGTTAAATTTGGCGGTGTCATAATGTCTCTCAGCACATCTACAAGAAAGTTTAAATGTGGCATAAAGTTACCTTTCACACTTGGAAGGAAGAGTATCAATATTACCAACATTTACCCACCCTTCCTACCATGCCAGGCCTTGTGCTAAGTGTTTTTACAGTCACTATTTCGGTTAGCTTCAATACTTCTGAAGTAGAGACTATTATCATTCTTATCTTATAATAAAGGAGATCAAAGCTTAATAAAAGGTTAAATGCATACATGCAATTTGTATGTACATATTTGTTCACACAATTTGTGACATTAACATGCAACACTGCAAATTCAACTACACTGACCCTGTAATTTCTTGGATGAAGACTGTACATGACTTTAGAATATATTTTTTATTTCACAAATACCTATGAATAGCTACTCTCAATATTATGTTTACCTAACAGATGATCGTATACAATTTTAAACCATTATTTTAAACATACAGGTTAAAACAGAGAAAAAGAACAAAGAAAATGTAAAAGACAACAGAATGATACTAATTTACTTATTAACACAATGCTTACTAAAAATTGTAAAGCAGACCTTTAGTCTTTTATATACAAATGTCATCATTTCCAATGATCTCTCAAAGTACAAATTTTAATATCAGGTCACAATAAAATAGCTAAAAACCATTGATAGTAAAATACTGATACCATAAGACAAACACTTAGCTTTTCAATATCACTAATCATTGCGACTATGCAGTAATAGGCTACGAAATAATTATCAATAGGCTCAAGAGAGTATCCTACATATTAGTAGGGTCAGAAACATCCTGGAGACTCCAACTATTAACGAAATCAGACATTTAAGCATTATTAAAATAAGCTGTAACTATTACCACAGGCTGTAATCCTAACACTTTGGAAGAGTTACTTTGGAAGAGTATCTTTAAGATTAGCTTTTGCTATTTAGTGAGTCTTAGGCCAGCCTGGTCTACGAGACCCTGTCTCAAACAAACAAACAAACAAACAAACAGAAAAAAAATTACTGAAAAATAAAAGTTAGTGTTTTAAAATAAAGTTCCATTATTCCTTGGCTCACATCTCAAATCCCAAAGTTATAAATAGGTAATCTCAAGTCAAGCAGAACCGGATCTGAGGTTGCTTAGACAACATACCTGCTGAGTATTAACTAACCCACCACAGTGGATACTTGGGTAACACAAAGAAGATGGATTTTTTTGTTTTGGTTTGGTTTTTGTTTTTCTTTGAAAACTGAAATTGTCTACATACCAAAATAAAACTGATCCAAGACTTCCAAAAAAACAGCTGTGGGCCTGCATTGTGCACCTGGAATCTGCCCAACTCTCAGCTGCATTTCAAAACCCAGTTCACATGAAGATTGAACCATTACACATAAGCTCCAGCCCAATGGATCAGACCTGAGACAAATCAACCTTTGTATACACACACACACATACACACACACACACACACACACACACACGTCTTTTTCTTTTAGCATACTACCTGATGTACTATTTTGCTTAAAAAAAAAAGTATTAGATAATGACATATGCATCCTTCCTAAATCATCTTGTGTGTGCTTATCTAAAAATGAGATATGAAGAAAAAACGGATACATATACAAAAGAGTGCATTTATTTTCTCTTTTCTCCCTCCTTCTTTGGTTTTCTCTTGAGTCAGGATCTCATATACCCAAGACTGGCTTTGAACTCCCTCTTTGCTCCACCTCCAAGTGCTAGAACTCCATGCAGGGCAGCTAGGTGGTTGGGCTCTTCTGAGAGGTGCCGCAGTGAAGAGCCCACAGTGGAGCACAGTCAGGAATCATGGATACACTCAGGAAATAAGAAGAAGCTAGCTAGGTACATACTCTAAGAAACTGATGTTAGTTTCCTACAAGTCAGTTTTCTCAATATTCCACACTTTCTGGTTGCCTGGTTTGGGGTCTAATATCAGGGATCACAACTGCCTAGCAGAGGGGAGGGGAGGGGAGGACCATAGAC